TTTGTACTTTTTAGAACATATTTAGTTCTGAACTTCGCTATCTCGAAATATTTTTAGCTTCCCTTCCACTTTGAGGTATCGAGAGTATATTGTACATATTTATTGAGGGACAGTTTGTTAGTTAACATGTTAATCGTAACTAAATTAACGATTACCTCTATTTGAAAAATAATCAACTAAATCATAGTTTAATGACCCTTTCATTTTCGTAGTTCAATAAATATATTATATGTTTCTATTAGAGAATTATTAGTTTTATTGGGTTTTAATTTTGAGGAGACAACTATTAGTATTATTAATATGATGCATGTTTAACGAAAAAGATTAATTGGGTAAAATAAATTTGAATTCAATGCTCTTCATGAGAGCCAGGACTAAAATAAATGATGAAAATGTGGTAAACATATTTGTTCATCAAATGTGTTTCTAGACATTTTAATTCTTACACGCTAACGAGTTGGAAATGGCAAATAAAATTTATAAAATATCTACGTGTATTTTTAAAAGTATACCTCACCTTTTTGAAGACAAACATTTTCAAACCTACGCTAACAAACTCTCAAACTGTAGCGAAACTCGTTATTTAACATGAAAATAATAGATTCGTGGGAGAGTTCAATTATCTTTGACTTATCGAAAAATTAGAACTTGAATTATTCAGGAAAATGTACCAAAATGTCCTAGGTGTAATGAAAGTTTTATTATTTGCGTACTTGCTTGGGTTTAAAAACTACTTTTCTTAAATAGGATGGAAATTTAATCTCATTCCATTCCTCAATTTAAATCTTTGTTTTCGAATTACGGTCCAAGAATGACTGAATTACAAAGATGAATTACGAATGGGTGATTTAGAACGGATGAATTACGAATCAACGATTTACTTCAATATGAATTAAAACTTGAAAAAGAAAAGAATAACAAAGCAGTAATTGTAAGTCTCGTAACAAGTTGAGTTATTTTTCGAAAAATGTTTTAAAAAATGATCTATGAATAACTGAGCGAAATATTTTAGCTTTCAAAATAATTATCATTAAATTATGCAGTAAATAAATAAAACGAGTTTCACTGTGCTTTTTAAAGTGTTTATTATATACTAGAAGCTCTGTAAATTATACCAATCGTTTATTATCTATACCTATGGTAACAAGTTCTACCATTAAGTAAAATGATACACCGTATGTAGCCATTAGCCATGATATCTGATCTATAGATTATCTTTTCAAGAATTAAGTACACATTGTACTTCAGTGGTTCCTAATAGGTATTCCAAAGAGGATCCAAGAGTTGGGATTTTTTTACGGTAATAACTGCATTTATATTTAATCATTAAACCATTATATATTTAATATTTCGGTTATTTATATAAAATTATTTATGTAATGCCAATGAAAAAAAAGTAGAAAAATTAAAGAAAATTTTTTTTTCAATAACCGTTATTGAATAAATTATGAAATGAATATGTATCTATAAAATGATCTCCTTAATTTAAAATAAGAACTACCAAAATCAAAAATAAAGAATTCCTCTTTATCTGATAACTATTCTCAACGTTTTTCAACAGTTCTTTTTGTAAAACCAAAATTCATTTTCAACTTATGCATACCCCCATTAAGAACAAAATTATAGTTTAAATTATTAAAATTCTTCGAGAATTTAAGGTTCTAAAGTCGAGCGCTATATTAAAAGAACGCCTGTTAAAATTTACTATTTAAAAAATTAAGTATACCACGTAAAAACGGACCACTCCTAATAATTGTTGATCTAATAATCGTATGCTCACGTTCTGGGACTCATTCTTAATGATTTAAAGGGGTATCCTCAAATATGCCAATTACTTAGTGCAGGCGATATTTAAAGTTACGAAATCAGACACAAAAACGCACTTTCTCTGAATAAACATATTTTTTTTTCTCTCGACGGATTCAGATTTCTGATCCCCAAAATACCGCAATTTGGTAAACAGGGTCCCAATAGTTTAGTCAGGTGAGTGGTCCCAAGTTAGGACCCCTTCATTTTATTATAACAAGAAAATTTTTAAGCAAATTTAAAAATTGTTGCACACAATTATAAAATTCATTTATCCGGAGATAATTTTATGCAAAAAAATAAAAACTTTTAATAAATATTTATCACTTTTCATTGTTTTATTTAATTATTTTATTTAATTTATTATTTTATTAATAGTCGAACAGATTTTGAATTATAAGGGATACAATATTTTACATCATTTTTACATGGAAAAATTTTACATGACAAAATACAAAATTTCTTTGAAATCAGTCGAATATTTTTGAGAAATTAAATTTTTAAACTACGACTTTTTTTAAATTCAATTTCTCAGGTACTTTTCGGCTGATTTCACTCAAAGCTTGTATTTTGCCAGCCCTCAATTGTTAACAAAGTGAATGACAACTCTGTGAATATCAAAGAGATCTCCTCTAGAGGATAGATGGCCGGGTGTAGAACATGCAATGAAAAACCTTTACTTTGTTTTTCTATATCATGGATTTTAGATGACTACAGAGAAAACGAGAAATGACAAAGGATCTCAACGACGATGACTCCCTACATTTATTATTATTATTTTACTAGGCAAAATTAAATGATGCGAAAATTTTTCAGTTCGCTTAAAAAGTTTTCGAGATATGGCAAAATACGTAAAAAGTAACATTAAGGGTGTTGCAGCCTCATCGAAAGATGTGAGAGCCCCCTAGCGAATACGAATAAGACTCAATAACTTTTAAGAACAGTTTGAATGTGAATGGTCACTTGATACAAGTGCTTGGCGCTTTTCTCTTTTTTGTAACTCATCTACTTTTGTTGTTCATCTTTTATCGTTATGTTTATTAAATTACACTAAAATGTTAATTAGCTTGGTCTTCATTCGTACTTAGATATTTATCGTTAAATATATTGTATGCCAAGCCCGAAAACAAAAGAGTAAGGTTGGTCTTAACTGCTTCTAATCATTCAGAACACAGTGATTTCCCTTGTTTCATTATATTTGGAAATAGTTACTCCTCCAGTATAGAACAAAGGGGTCCAGAATTAGGACTGCTTTCCTGATTAAACTATTCCCAGATAGCAAAGTAAAGTTTATTTTCCCCCAGCAAAACCTTTTAATGTAAATCTAAAAGGTTTATTATGCGGTTTATGTGTAAACCAAACACCATGAAATATGATTCTACAGAGGATACGACACCAACCAACCAACCATGTGTAAACCTTCCAACCTTAAAACGAGATCTGTGATATTCTGCTATATTCTACGCACGTAACCCTAATCCAAAACATTTGAAAACCTTCGTATAAAAACCTTAAATCGAGGATGATTTAGGGTTTTAAAGAGTAAAAAAATCCTTTAATAAAGGTAGTCTCAAGGCGAAAATAATCTTGAATCTAGGTAATTATGTATAAGGTTTCTTTTCGGTTTCATAATATGTGATTGAATGTGGTAAATGTAGTAAAATTTGGTAATTTTATCATGATAATATAGAACATGGGATAAAAACCATTTATTCGATTACGGTGTGGTAATGAAACTTGCAGTTTGAAAACCAGAAACTTTCGGCAAACGATTACCGTATGAACAGAAAAATTACCAAATGAATGGTTTAAATACCGTATATTTTTGTTTTTATTACCAGAATTGTTATTTTTTTTTACCAGAAATGTCATAACCATACAGTAGGGTAATTTTACCTAAATAATTTTCTCCATATCCTTCATGTAAGTGATTACAATAATTCTCCGTAAATAAGAAACCTTCCGAATAATCATTGCAGTTGATTATTTACAGTTTCGTCTTGAAATCATTCTATTATCAGAATTTCTGTCCTCTTCCTTATTCATTCAACTTGTTTTTTCCGGTTTCATGTGAAAATTATTGTTTCGAATCATTGCAAAAGAAATTTTTGATGAAATTGACTTCAATTCAATTGTAAATAAGATTTCTCGCGTAGATTATAACTTCTTAAAATTCATTTGTTTGTTGCTTATTTTTTAAACGCAAACTTTTTATGAGATTTCATACTAGTGTATTTATTGAATTATGTTACCAATACATATATATAGAAGGATTGATGTGGTGTTTTTTAAAACATCAAATGATATTCAGTTTTCACTCCCTACCTATCTATATACAGTGAAAATTTAAAAAAAATTAGATAATAAGAGTAAATTCATGGTTTCCGTCTTTATCTACAGCTAATTCGATATAGTTTAGTTTTCTTAATCTATTTATGTAGGTGGTGCATTTATTGATGGTAATAAAATATGATATATATTTGGGGGGGGGGAATTATTGTTAATTATGAATTTTACAGCAGTTCAATTAATTTAAATATTTTGACAAATGCTTTGTTACTTTCAGATTTCCGGATTCTCTGGCTTTTAAAGAAACACCTCAGAGGAAGTAATGAGTAAATTTCACGCGATTTTTATACTATGCCCCCCTTTTTAATACAAAATGTAACGTAAGTCTATTGTTTCATAAATCTGTTATAAGTGCATAAAACCATGGTCCGGTTAGTCTCTTAGTTAAAATTAGGAAAATTCCATCAAATTCAAACCAAAGAATGATTTTCAGTGAACAGTATGAATTTTTGATACAGCCACATAACTAACTATTTAAGAAAAATAGCATTATTTTTGTTAAAAGTTGAAAATCCTATCGAATTCAAAACATAGGATGAATTTTAGCAAGCTGCGTTAATGTTGGATGAAGCCATATTATAAACAATATAAGACAAATTACATTATTTTAGTTACAAGTTTGAAAATTCCGTTGAATTTAAACCAAAGAATGATTTTCAGTGAGCTGTTTGTTGTTTGATGAAGCCACATTGCAAACAATTTAAGACAAATTGCATTACTTTAGTTAAAAGTTAGAAAATCCCATCGAATTCAAACCAAAGGATGATTTTCGATGAGCTGTGTTAATGTTTTATGAAGCCACATTACAAACAATGTAAGATAAATTAACATACTACAGTACTTACAGCAAAATTCCTTAGTCTACCCAAAACTCCTTTATTTCTGCGTTCCAAAACTGGAGAAACTGCGTAATCACTATTTTTACAGTCAGCTAAATGCTTCGGATTGGAACACCTTCTCTCACAATCGCAGTCCTCTCGTCCGTCTGTGCGATTATTCAAGGACTGGCAACTATTTACCACCAAAGAGTCCCTCACCATGGATGCTACGCCAGAATCGGCCATATCAACCTCTTCACCGTTTCCTTCGTTCACTTCTTCAACAACATCGGAAAGACTTGGAATAGTTGACGAAGAATGAGTTTGTTCCGCTTCTTGATGCGAACGTGCCAAGATGGCGGACGTGAACTCTTCTTCAGTGTAAGCTCGTTCCTTTTCTTTATCTCTAGTGCCGTTTGAATTCTCGTTCGTGGTGGTTTCCGACGACTGAGTGTCCAGGGCTGGTGGACTTTCTTTTTGCGATTCACTCAAGGCCAAGTCATCGGAATTTGATTTAGAATCTGGACTTGTTGGAAGTCTATGGACTATAATTTCGCCAGCTGCGTCATTTTCATCGAGCAGGGCTGCTGTAGCGTCCCATTCGAATTCTTCGGTCGGTTCATAGTAGATATGTGTGTTCGGTATGTTTTTTGTATCAGGACCTAGAAAATAAGAATTTATTCATTAATTGAAGAACACTAACTAAATATTAAAATTTAGTTGTTGTTCACATGAGTTCAATTACATACACTGAGAAAAGTGGTTTAGCTTTGAACCATTATAACAGGCAAATCTAACGTTACTATATCGTTAGCTTGAACCATAATGACAGGCAAATTTAACGCAACCTGAATAAAACGTTAAACTGAATTGTACTTGTGGTCAAGTTAAACCAACATATCATACATACTCAGGCTGAGAAAATTCGGTTCACCTTTGATGCGTGAACTGAAACTTTAATAAGATTTTAAATTCTGTTCCCGTTTAAATTGAATCATAGAATTGAAAAATATTTACACTCTCAGAATCTCATAGTATTAACACTCATAATATTAAAATCGGTTCGACATTGAACCATAATAAGGATAATTGGAATCAAATGCCAAGTAAATTTTCTGCAATCTTTATAAGGTTTTAAATTGGACTGTTTTTCCATTCAAACTGAGCCATTGTTTTGCGCAATCAAGTTTAAAAAGGATTAAACTGCAAGATATTAAGGTTTCACTGCGTACCTTTAAAAGCTCTAACAAATTGGAACAAAATATTTAAAATCTCTAAAATTTTTGTTGAAGCTTTTCTTATGCATTTCAGATACTTTCTCAGATCATAAAAGAAGACAATTCTTTTTTAAACGTTTTATAGTGTTTCTTTTAAAATAGGTGCGAACTGGCTTTATAATAGTATTTAAAATTAAATAAAGTGTGGTATTTTGAGAAGCAATATAAAATAAATAAAAATATATTTATATCTCATTTATGCATCATAAATTAGATTTAAGGCGAAATAAATTAATGAAGCATTGACATCAAATGTTGTTTTGTTTTCAAAAGCCGTCACTTAAACGATTCAAAACAAAGAGACATTACATCATGGCAGACTATAAATAAGTGAGGACTTTCCTCCCCAACTGCCAGACAATACTCAATTTCAAGGTGTCCATTGATAACATACTGTCGATTAAGAATCACGACTTCATGCCAACGTTCATTAAAAAGATTTACACTTTCAGCTACATTTCATCCAACAAAAGGTGGTTGGTGATGCCATCGCGGCATTCTGAATATAAACATTTCACGCAAACCGGATAATCGACAATATCCGCTCTTCCAGAATGGCAACATAAGGCCATCCAACGAAGGTCGCGTGTACAGGCGCATGTTTTGTTCTACGGAATTGCCCAAGAACGACATTTAAGTTTTTCTTTCGTTTATCTTTGATATGCATCAGTGATCCATGTAATTCTAAATGTAAGCTTTTGGGTGACAATGTTTACGCTGATCTTATCTAACGTTTTCATTCATAAAGTCATTTAAAAGTTGAAATTTGCATGGAGTTGAAGAAGTACGTTTATACGGAAATTTCTTTTGTTTAATGATTTATGGCTTAAGAGATATAATTTTAATAATCCATTATCGATATATTTTTATTTTGGAAAAAGCATAGAATTGGTTTCAATTTCAAAATCATTTATTAGATTTTTTAGGATTAGTTATGCACGCGCAATCTAAGTACTTAATCTCTAAATTCAAAATTGATCTTGTAATGATGTCAGATATTGTTGTATCCATAATTTAACGGCCCCTTTTCAAGTTTGTCTGTAGCCGAAACTAATGTTCAGAAAGTTATAAAAAAATTGTGTTGGAGGTACTGAAGTAATAAGATTTCGGTCGGGCTGATAAAATACCAGTTCGAAATTTCGTCACAAGAAGGCGTATATTTAACAAATAATCATAATACGTTTATTAAATTCATTTAACTGACGTTAACAATAAACGGAAAATTTTATTTAGAAAACAAAACATGTTCAACATGACCGCGATGAAGTGAAATCTGGAATTATAAATGTCATGAAATACTGTCCAACAGATCAGGTAAAGTTCTTGAAGACTAATTCATGTTTCAGAAGTAATACATTTAGCAAAATGGAACATTTATTTTGTTTTCTAAAAGAAAAATTCTAAATTATTTTAGATACGATAAAAGAGAACGAAATAAACATAATATCAGTCCAATAAAACTAGAGGTTAGTTAGTTTTGTTTTACATAATATGCAATAGTAAATGTGGCAGCATTTATCTCCAAACAACAATCTGCTTCGCCAAAAATTCGACTTATTGAAAATTTCTTAGAATTCGAAGAATTGTTGAAAATTTCAGAGATTCAATCATTGTTTCAAACATTGATCTCAAAGGGTTTCCCGCCATTCATGATCAATAAACTTTGAAGGACTCTCATCCTGGGTTCTCTTTCAGCAATAACTTTTCTTCACACGATTCCCAATATTTAACTATTTAATATCGACTCATCAGTTACTATATTCTTATTCTGTTACTATATTCTTATCTTCTAACTGTATCTAAAGTTTAAAAAAAAATTTTTTTTCTGGAATCGCTGTTCACGTTTAACAGGAGAACGAATGTGGACAAAAATCGATTACAAGCAATATATTGTATACCTAAGTTGGGCTGTTTATCGAATTCAGAAATGTATTCTTAGTTTATCTATAACTTTTTTCAGAAGTTTATAAAGTAATTCAAAACAACTCTTCTGGAACAAGAATTTTTTTTGTTGAAAATATTGCATTTGATATAAGCGTCAAAAACTTGAAACTATGCCAATTCTATTTTTTCACTATTGATTTCTTTGAATGATTCGAATACGATTTTTTTTCTTTTTAACCCAACTTTTTCTAGACAGATATAAAATATTTTTTTCTTCATTTTAGCACAGTAATATTGGAACGTTACTTAATATTTTACAACGTTCTATAAACGCTATTTCGTTGAAAAGTGCCATAAAGGGTCCAACCGAAAGATTCAAACGATCCCTTAGCGGAAAAAAATGGTTGTTGCGATCTAGAACGATAAAAATTGTTTATTTATTCTTCTGTTTTAAGTATTTTCTCTAGATTCTTTTATTTCTTAGAAATGTAATCTAACCCCGCTATAATAAAGCCGGTCTATAAGTGAACACCCGGTTATAATGAATGTTTTTAGTGTTTCCGTTCGAACTGATGATTTAATGTTATTTCAAATGTTTATTGTGAACAGCTGAGGAATTGATAGTTCGTCTATACTGAACTCGAATTTCCTTTCTACCGGAATTTAAATTATTTTTACAAAATTTTTAGTCTATGTGATATGCGTAAAATCATATAATTATGACTTTTATTTAAAAAGGAAGTAGAACACATTATAAAGGAGTGTTTAAAATAAGTCATTTTGCCGAAATAATACAAGGCAAAATAGAGAAATTAACGAAATTAAGAAAAGTAATAATAAGTTATATTTACTACGCATAAGCTGAAAGTATATAGGAACCCTAAAACAAGTTAAGAATACAAAGGAAACAGGGAAAAAATATAAATATTTAAAAAAAAAATTAAAAAACGTTTTTTATAAAAAATATTTAAAAATTTAAAAGAAAATTAAGAAGCCGGCCAAACAAAATAAGCAAAAGATATAATCTCGTTATCAGCTCACACGATAATATCCGAAAAAAAGTGCTTTCTAATATTGTGTTCATGTAGCCAAAGCAAAATATGTCAATACAATAGTGAGAGAAACACCAAAAAATTGAAACGAAAAAAGAAGATATTAAACAAAGTAATACAAAGTAAATAAATACAAAACAAAACATACAAAAAAAAGGGAGAAAATAAAAATTCTGGAAAAAATAGAGAATAAAACACAAAATGTAACATATAAAGCGTGTATCAAATTCAAATGAACTTCCACTTATTGACATCTTTAAAAAATGATTTAAAATATTTTCGTAACAAGTTTGCCAGATTACAAAATAAGAAAATAAAAGCGCAAATATTGGGTAGTGGGATGTATTTCACAGCTCTTTCTTATTACAGTACAGTAGTACATTTGATTTGTCAGTTACCTTGGGTTGGCCTGAACTGGATGTGCGTAAGGTAATAATGTTACACAGAATAATTCAAAGTTTATAATTAATAAGGCTGAATTTTAATTATAAAATTTTAATTTTGATGATTCTAAGAGAAATTACATATAAATCAAAAGTACTAGAATTTCAGTATTCAAAAGTCTTAGCCAAACTCAAGTTTTAATGATAAATTTTTTTCCATGTAAGACAACATTTATTTTTTTTTTAAGATTCCGATCAGCTTTTAAATAAATATATTTCATTTAAATTAAAATGTTCAATTCTTTAAGTCCTTCATTTTTTAATAAAATAATTTTTACTGTCTCGCTTATTTTTTATAGTCGCGAATGTAATCATTCACAAAAAAGGATCCCGGTAGAAGAAAAGTTATTTCAATAATTTAATTCTGTTTTATTCTGATTTATTGGTTTTTACACTACTCACTGAGATTTTTTTAAACGAAAGTAGGGGGGAGGGAGGGGGGCTTAACTCGTTTATTGCCAGCCGAATGCAAGTGGCTTTACCATATGTATCATTGAAGAGTGGTAATTTACAAAGATGAAATTAAAAATAAATTTCCTCATTTCAGCAACCGTTTTAATATTTCAATTTTACATTAAGCTCATTTTTATAAACAATATGTTCTTAACATGCGAACACATATTTTCCGGAAAATAGTTGGATGATAATATGCGTGTAGTATACCACTTAATCTACTTTGATACAAACAACAGAAAAAAATGCTTTTTATTCTTACATAATTTTTCTTGTTGCTAAGATTATCTAGACTTAATTTAATTCTAATTAGTTATGCTACATATGTAAGGGAAATTACAGTAATTGAAAAGGAATACAAAATTTGTTTATAAAAAAATTCATATTGATGTAATTTTTCGAATTCAAGTAGAATATATATTTTTCTTTTCAGCAGAAAAAATCGTTTGCTAATACTGTGGTCACAATTGGTTTTGTCGAATTAACGATTTTATCGTATTTGACGAGGTGGCGATTGCTTAGCGCGGGCCCTGAATTATATATATATACATGT